GTCTCCTACTTCACTGTAAAGTTCATTCTCAGTGGATGTGCACTGGTGACTTCAAGTTCCCAAGTTGCATACTGGACCAGGACTGACTTCCAGATTCAGATCAGATTTTCAGTGTGCACAGAGAAACTTTCAGCTCCATGGGCTGCGAAAAAAGAAGTCAGACAGAACTGAGCCTTATGAGGAAATGAGCTGACTTCTCAGTGAGTCTGTCCATCTCAACGCACCAAACTCAGATCAAACTGTCAAACTAGGCAGTGCTGATCAAATATCAATCAAGATTCTGTCACTCTGTTGACTATCTCTCCATTAAAATCTGGACTTGGACTTTATATGTGGGTACAGAAACCGAACAGTGAGAGCAAGCATATTTAAATATGCTTTAAAGCAAACCACCTGAGCATAATTTGAATGCCACAAAGAGTTGATTCACTTAATAATAATAGATAAATTTTATATTTTAGGAGAGCGCGCGGCGGGCACTCCGAGGCAGCCGTAAAAACAGCATAAAAAATGAAAAACAGTAAGAAATAAAAGCAGACTAGAGAAAAGACCGAATGTAGATAGTCTAAGTGGGGTATGCAATTCTGAATAGGTGAGTAAACTTATTCTATTAGAAACTAATCTGAAATACAAAACAGCAAAGAGACATGATTAAACACACAGAAACTATAAAAGACATCCTCAATTACACACACTGTCATAAACAGGGTTTAAATGGTTGAATGCATCTGCCTTTGTCTGGGGACAGAGGGAAAGAGGAGAGGAAAGGGAAGCAGCACAGTGGGGATGAAGAGGTAAAGACAAGGAAAGCAGAGAACAGAAGTGCAGAAAGAGGACGGAAAGAGAAAGAGTAAGGAAAGAAGAGGAAAAAGCAGGGAAACAGGAAGAAAAGAGAATAGAGGGTGGAGGGGAAAGGCAGGGGAAGAAAAGGCAAAAGAGGAGGGGATACAGACAGAAAAAAGGCAGTTAAAAGAACGGGAGATAGAAGTGGAAAAAGAAGAGAGGACAAGACAGAAAAGGCAGAGGTGGAGAAATGGAGGTGAAGAGCCATCCCAGTAATCAGAACCAGTGTGGTCTTGGTCACATGACCATCTATTAACACTGTCCCTCAATCCTTCCTGTCCTTCAGCCAAGTCCTCTTTTTGTCTCACACATACTGGAAGACTACCTGCTCCTGTCGCGTTATTATGGATTCCACTGCTTCTCAAATCTCAAACCAGCCTTCAGTCGCTAGGATAGGCCAGGGGCCCATGCTTACACAAGTTTCTGCCAGAAAGCTTTTCTAACAAGTAGTTAATGTTGTAAAAGCGTCTATTTTAATCCAAAGCATGATATTTTCCTAAACCTAACCAAGTAGTTTTGTTGGATAAACCTAACCAAAGTGCGACTGAAAACTAAAGATAATAATAAATAACAAGAATTATAAGTCAACGAAGTATTAAAAGTCTGATCAGATACAAGTCCTGTGCTTAGCCCACTCATCCACCACTACTATCCTCTTATAGTTGGATATTTATAATACAAGCGGCGAAGGGTCGCAGGTTGGAATCAGACCCAGGCAATATTATCAACAACAATAAAAATAATAATAATAACAATACATTAATTATATCTCATCTTAGCATATATACATACACTGTTTACAGTATAGTATATATATTACACCTAATTGTGGTCATGGAGTTTGGTCTAGACCTGCTCTACTTAACTTCTTTTATGAATTGGCGCTATACAAATAAAATTGAATTGAATTGAATTGAATGCCAGGAAAGATAATTTGAATATTAAAGAAAGGTTGAGTTCAACCAATACATTGATTTATTTTTTTATCCTAACAGTTTTCTCAATTTTAATATACTATATATTCAATTCAATTCATATATATATATTTTTTTTTTGCACAAAGGTCAAGTGTGTGGCATTGGCTGCCTGACAGATGCATTGTCTGAGCATGCTCACAGCGGTCAGGATGGAAGAAAAAGGGGGCAGGGTTGGTCAATGGGGTTCAATTACAGTAGAGAACAGAAGTACTTGAATTACTAAATTACTATGTAAATGAATATAGTTGAACTACCAGCAAGCTGTTGCAAAATGAAGGTAAACTACTATTTTAATTACATTAACTCCTCGTTATTAATGGGGAAGGTGTATGACAGAGAACAGCTTGTACACCATTACACGTCCTGCACAGTTGTAAGCATGCATGTTGAGTGTATCAGCTCAGTTTCTTTGACATACACAGTTGGACAGATAGAGGATGACTGTAAACTCATCATTTAGTGCTAATGTTCCAGTGCAAACATTTCTGCACAGAAGTACAAGGAGTGTGATACACTGCGTTATGAAACAGCTCTGTACCCTACAGCTGTACTCTGATGTGTGTGAGTGTGTGTGCTCTTCCTCATCTTCCCAGCCTTCATTTTTCTCATCATTCATTGTCATCTTGTTTTTCTTCATACTCCATCCTCTCTGTGCTCCTCCCCTCCTTCCTCCTACAGCTAATTTTCTCCTCCTCTTCCTCCTCCTACGACTCCAACTCTCATTTTGCTGTGGTTGTATGTGAGTGACCTTTCTCTTTTAGCTCGTCAGCATCAAGATTCTCTTCTTTGTACATTTTGTGTATGTGTGTAGGTGTGCTCATGGTGCCTGCTTATTAAGCAGAAAACATTGTGAACAGTATGTGTGGAATTACTCAGGAACAAACTGACCTGTGTGTATGTGGCATTAAATGGAAAGGCACACACACATGCTTACAGTACACAAACACATCAATTCTCTACAGTGGAAAAATACAGCTGAGTCTTCTTGTTGCCACGGGATAGTCCAAGTGTCTCGTATATCACACACACACACACACACACACACACACACACACCTCTACACCCACACACACAGTGGCACATCACGCCAGCCTGTTGGTTATGAATGACACTAAAGATAGATCTAATATATAGAGAGGGAGAGGTTGATTGTTACATCACATCAAATATTAATATTCAGCAGACAGAAAGGCTTCTTGGTGCCAGACAGTACCTGTGTGTGTGTGTGTGTGTGTGTGTGTGTGTGTGTGTGTGTGTGTGTGTGCGCGCATGTGTGTTGTACAA